TACAATGGTATAAGCAATATGCATTTATCTAAATTCTAAGTATATATCCCTAAGGTAATTTAAAATTATGAAGTAACTGTTTTTTTTGCATTTTAAACTTTTAAACTACACAATTTAGGTTGAAATATTATATTTATTTGCTATATTTAATTATTAATATTATATAATGTAACTTTTTATTTCCCAAATGTATTAGGTCCATTGTACAATCGTACAGAATTCAATAACTTTCGAAAGTTCCGCTACAATCATCTTCAAAGACATTATGATAATGTATGGATGTGGCGAGATATTAATATCGGACCTCATGGACGATTCATATTTGATTTAGATGTTCCTTATCGACCTGCAAATTGGATGATAACTGCATTTAGTTTAAGTCCTACGAAAGGTTTTGGTATGATCAAAAAGCCCATTGAAGTGAGTAAATGTTTTATAATGTCATACGTATTAATATTATTATTTATGAATAATCCATTTTGCAGTATGTTGGGGTATTACCATTTTTTATGAATGTTGAAATGCCTACACATTGTAAAGAAGGTGAACAGATTGGAATTCGTGTCACTGTTTTTAACTACATGGCCAATAGTGTTGAAGCTGTAGTTGTTTTATTGGGTTCAGAATCATATAAATTTGTTCATGTCGAAGAAGATGGAATAGTATGAAATACCATATACAAATTGTATCCTATTATTATATGCTTATTTTGCGACTTTTTTTATGTTCTAAGGTAAACTCATACAATCCTAGAACATCTCATGGTCATCATCAATTCTTTGTTTATATTAAAGCACAAGATGCAGAAACTGTTTATCTACCTGTGGTACCAACAAAACTTGGTGATATTACCATAAATATTGAAGCTACTTCACTAATAGCTAGTGATCGAGTGACTAGACATTTACATGTTGATGTATGTTCATTTTTTAAATATTTATTATTTATTTTTATACTAAAAGTTAAATGATATCATTTTTTTAGTCTGATGGAGTGCCTCAGTATAGACATCAGTCAATGATCTTGGATCTTAGTAACAGAGCTTATGTTTTCCAATATTTGCATGTAAATGTGACTGAAACTCCAATTATTCCATACAGTATAGATCGTTATTATGTTTATGGATCAAACAAAGCACATCTTTCATTAGTCGGTGATGTCGTTGGACCAATTTTTCCTACTATGCCTGTTAACGCAACATCTTTGCTTAATTTACCCATGGTAATATTTAACATTTTATTAGCATTCACAGTAGTACAGTACCTATTGGTTACTTGTTTCATTTTAATTTTTTATTATCAGGATGCTGCTGAACAAACAATGTTTAGTTTTGCGGCTAATTTATATACAACAATTTACATGAGATATGCAAATCAACGTGATAGAACATTGGAGAAGCAATCATTCTACCATTTAAATATTGGATATCAGCGTATGTTATCATTCATGAACAAAGATGGATCATTTAGTCTTTTTAGAAGTGATTGGTATGATTTTTCCTCTATGATTATTTTTTTTTCTTCTAATATTAAAGTTATAATTTTAGGAATATGTCTTATCCAAGTGTATGGTTGACTTCGTATTGTGCTAGAGTGTTTCAGGAAGCAAACTTCTATGAGTGGGAAAATTTCATTTTTATTGATCCACAGGTAATTAATAAATGTTTCTTAGTAAAATAATATTTTAAATATTAATATATTAAAATTAAATTATTAAACAATTAGGTAATTTCAAAAGCTTTAATGTGGGTGCTGAAACATCAAACTGAAGAAGGTTCATTTTATGATGTGACAGGATTTCCTGACCGCAAAGTTAATAGCTCAATGCATAGATCAATTTTGTTTGGAAAAAATAGACAACAGAGATTTTCAAATATATCATTAACTGCACAAGTTCTCATAACATTGACAACTGCAAAAGATTTATCAGGGGTTGGTTAATATATATTTTATATATCTGTTTCATTTAATTCATGTGTATAACTATTTTTGATAGGGTCTTGGTTCCAAATTGGCTCAAGGTGAAAGTCGAGCTGTTAAGTATTTAGAAAAAAATATGAATTTATTAAATATGACTGGTGAACCGTATGAAATTGCACTTGTTACTTATGCATTAATGTTGACCAAGTCATCATTTGCTGAATATGCATTCACATTATTATCTCATCATGCTAGGAGAGAAGGTATGTTTTGTATTTTTTATTTATTCATGGTATTTTAGAGTATTTTACTTGAACTTTATTGTAGGTGGATTGATGTATTGGGGTAAAGAATTCGTACCATTGCCACCAACAAAAATGGAAAATCAGAAACCATTTTTATTACCACGTTTGCCATATAAATATGACTCTATTAATATAGAAACAACAGCATATGCCTTACTTGTTTATGTTGCAAGAAAAGAACCTTATGCTGATGATGTTGTTAAGTGGTTGAATTCTCAAAGACTTACTGATGGTGGTTGGGCCTCCACTCAAGATACGGCTATTGCCATGAAAGCTCTAATTGAATATACAAACAGAAACAGACTTCGAGATGTATTTACATTGACTGTTACTGTCGAAGCTACAGCTCTTTCAGGAAAAACAAAAATATTGAAAGTCAACAGTGAAAATATTGCTCAATTACAAAAAATAGAGGTAAAAATAACTTTTAATGTTTCCTTCAGGTCTTGAATTTAAATTCTTTACTTTTAATTTAGATTCCACAAGCTTGGGGTACTGTTAAAGTGCAAGCTAAAGGTTCAGGTTATGCAATTTTACAAATGTCCGTCCAATATAATGTAGATGTGGCAAAATTCCAAACAACGCCACCTGAACAAGCCTTTGGAATAATAACACGTGCAGATTTTCATGGTCGCAATCAGTCTCATATTACTTATCGAAGTTGTCAAAAGTATTAATAATACAGATACAGTAATTTGACTTGAGTTACTAAATGATTTATAATTTAGATGGACTTACATAGAAGAGTCTCCTAGATCTGGACTGGCTGTGTTGGATGTTGCTATTCCAACTGGATATATAATTCAACAACAAAATTTAGATGCTTATGTATTGCAAAGAACTGTTCCAAATTTACAAAGAGCTCGATTTTTCCCTGGAAAGCTGTTGTTTTATTTTGATTATGTAATATCATACTTATATATTCTTATATGCATGCAGCTGAAAAATTAATTCATTTTTTTATGTATTAATAGTTGGACGATTCAGAAACTTGTGTTAAATTTACTGTTGAAAGATGGTATCCTGTTGCAAATATGTCACGTTATCTTCCCGTCCGTGTGTATGATTATTATGCTCCTGGTATGTTTTTATTTATTTAAATTATTAAAATTTATTTTAAAACATTTTACTGATTTAAATTATAATAAATGTATAATTTGTTTCTTTAGAACGATTCAACGAAACAATATTTGATGCTTTACCAACATATTTGTTGAATATTTGTGAAGTATGCGGTAGTAGTCAATGTCCCTATTGCCCAATTTTCAATAACGCTGTTCAATTGTCTATTCCAATAAAATGTATCTCTATTATTACTATTATTGTAATTAACATTTACAATAATTTCATTACATAGTAAAATTTTATTATTTGGTATGTTTTAGTTTAAATTTAAGTATTAATTTAACGCACATCTTTAAAAACCTACATTTAATAAACTTTAAGAAATATTTTTAAAACATTGAATTAGATATTCCAAGACTGGCTAAAATATTTTTACATCAGCTTACATAATAAAACTTATAATATATATATATTAATAATAATAACATTTTAAGAAATGCACGTTTGCATGTTGCTACCTACTATCTAGGCCTTCTACTAGAAATAAATTTGTAGCTATACAATCATAGAAAAAACTCACATACTAGTATTTCTAAATTTTGTTCTCTTAATAAGATCCTATAATGTGTAGTACAACTAATTAGAAAGGCATAAGTCACTTATATTTCCCAGATTCTTTTATAGTTTATATACATTGACTGATATGATTATCAGGTTTGGCTTAAGGCACGTGCAAGCGGTGTGTCTGCACCGGGTGGCAATTTTAAGTAGATAGTTATTTTTGATTATAGATATGGACATATTATTGTAATATCACACTGAGTGGCTAACTATCTAAAGCATACCTGATGATTATTGTAATTAATTCACTAATTATACTAATATTTTATTACCAAAAGTTACATAAAATTGCTAAATTTTAACGAATGCTATAATATGTAAGTTGTCTAAATCTTTAAAAATTCCTTTTTTGAACAAATTCTTACATATAATATCTAATGAGTAATAATATAACTATTTTTTTTATTTAATATTATAATTTTGATCTTAAATAAAATTAATTAAAATGCCCAGTGTGGCAAAAAAAATTTTTTCAACTTAACACAATGAATCTCATAGTTTGATCAGTATTTTTCCTTTAAGTATATTATTTTTTTTTATAGTTAGATATGATTCAGTTGTAAAGTGTTCCATTATTTTGTTTTATTTGTTATTTTATCGAAAAATAGATTCGTAGCTAATTACATAAATTAAGTTATAATAACACATATAAGGTATAACATATTATAATTATAAATTCAAATACAATTTCTGAATGGTTTTAAAGAGATTTTAAAAATTGCCTATTTATTTGTATTAATATAAAGATTAAAAAAAAGATGGAACACATTTCTGAAACACTAAAAGTATATTATTATAATGATAAACAATGTCCTTTGATTAAATAAATGTACTAAGCTTACCTGTCGTTAACTTATAAAAGTTTTAATTAACTAGAAAAATGTTATCACTTAAGTATTGAATTAAAATTAATTTAAACTGATTTTTTATACATGAAATTAATATTAAGTTGCAACTAATGCCGTCCATTGTTACATTTTTTTTATGTATTTGAACATTGACTTTTTACATGTATTTTAATATTTTATACACAGTTTATGTATTTTGATGTAAATAAAGAAAGATATTTTAAAGAAAATTTATCCTTTTTTGTTTAATAAATAGAAAACTATGGTATGTTCATTTTTCAAATATCACTGCGTGACAAATCAGTAATGAAAAGTGAAAATCTTCTTAATGTACCATGACACTTAATTTTTTTTTGTAGTAGTATTATGATAAATAGAACTGCTTATTTACAAAAAGTTGTCACATACCATGTATTTGTTGTTCAGTTTACTATTTGTTACTGTATTAAGTGTTCCTGATGGTAATACAAACTCATCAAATGATCATTTACTTATTGAACACAGTGTCACTCAGGAAAGTGCTGAAAATGCAATTCAACATATTGTACCAGACTTAAGTAAAATAAATCATAAATCACACTGTATGGTTATAATATAAATATTATTATCTTATTCTTATATTCTTATTAGTGATAGGGGTAGGTTGCAAAGAATGTACTATAAGAGAAATCGAATACTGTTTGTCCAATGATGTCATTGAGGATCATTGTTGTTGCCAGAGGAAATACCATGGTATGTTATGTTAATTAGATAAAATATGACATATTAAATTATGCTAAAACATTTGGGTTATAGAAGTCTTCCCTTACATTGCACATACTTGCTATGTTAGATCTAGAAATTGTGAACCTACCGTTCGGGATTGTGGAGTATTTGATCGATTATTGACTTGTTGTTGCCATCATTATCTTGGAACAAAAAGTGAGTAATTTACTACACATTTTAGCAATTTTGATAATCATTAATAATAGTACCACACTATATTTTTTTGTAGAACACTAGAATCTAATATTATTTAAGAAAAATGAAAACAAATGTGAAAGGTTTTTATTAAATATTTATTTGAAAACTATTTAGTAAAAAAAAAAAATTAATTAAAAACAGTTATAACGAAATGTAGTTATTTTTTAGTCCAACTTTTAAATGCAATTTTCAGCATTTTTTAGTGCAATACTGTAAACAATTTTACTAGTTTTTAACTACTACATACAACATCCATGGTCTTTAGTTCTTACTATTAGGTACGCTATGAATCACAATCAACATTAATAGAACTGAACAAGACCACAAATTATACAACTGTACCACTTCTAACTACTAATAACTAATAGGCAGATTCGTATTTGGAAACATGTTTTTTGATTCATAATTGACCATATCTTTTGTAATTATTAATATTATTTTCAGACTAATCAATGAAAACAATACATATTTTTTAGCTGTAATAATTTATTTTAACAAAAGGTTATAATAATGATTGTAACACTGAAAATAATATAATTTATTTTTTGATACAATTAATACACAATAATAATATGTCAATATAAATTTATAGCCCACTAAATAAGTCAATGCTTCATTAACACTTTGTGTGTTACTTTTATACATGACATATTGATATGTGTCATGTAGGCATAATGTATAGTGACTAAAAATACATTTTAGATTCTGAGGGTATCGAAAGAATATATTGATTTATAATAATATTGTTTTTTTAATCAAAATATTTTAAAAATTGTAAACTATAGAAAATGCTAATCCAACCATTGATTGAAAATTTCATGTATCTACGGTAATTTTTTTTAAAGTTATAAACCAAAAAACCAAAATCAAAGCATTACTTCCATTACTTATTGTACAGAAACAAAAAAAAAATCACACATCAATGTAAAATCAATACGTTCAAAGCTCCGCTCAGAATCTAAAAATTAAACAAATTAAATTTTAAAATAGTATATCATATCTCACAATTTCACGACTACATTGCTTTAAAGTTTAAACATACTTTAAATTCAAATGCTTATCGATTGAAGTAACTGTAACTTAATACTTTTTAAAAATAACTTATCCAACGTAAGTCGTAAATCGTAATAAAAATGCATATCTACTTATAATTAATTTACATTTTGTGTGGCATACTGACGTTGATAATGATAGGACCTAATATGATGTAAATGTATTTTTTTTTTAGGGAAAGCCAAAATTTCAACCACCATTAATGGCCAGAGTCGAAAAAACAAAAGCCTCTTTCTTTTTGGATTAATTATTCTCCTCATTAAGAACAATTATTTTATTTTTAATTTATTTTAAGCTTGTTGAGTAGTTTTAAAGTTTTAGATAAAATAATTGTAAAAACACCACAATTTCATCATTTTAAATAAAAATCTACACGTTATCTCAAATTCCTCATCGACTTAAACAAAATTTGCTAATACTATCTAAATACCATAACTCATAAGATGAAAATATTGATTTTACAATGATGTGTACTGTACTACTCTGGAGACACTTTTTACAGTCAAAAATATGCTTTGATTTTCAACTTTGAGAGTTGTTTCTGGTAGCAAAAGCAAATTGGATTTAGTTTGTACTTTGGGCCTTCAGTGAATAAAAATTAAAGCGTTCCCAGTATTTTCCAAAATAATTGGGGATTTCAAAAAAAATAAAAATAATACGAACATTAATAATAGTTAAAATGTCGATATTATTATTATTAAAATTTGAATTTGATATATAGGGGTATAAAAACAAGTTGTACAAAGTGTAATTTTGAATGTTATTATTAGGTCGCTGTAGAACATCTTATATGAGGTTCATTGAATTAAATTATTAAGATATTTTTCCCAGAAATAAACAATTAATCAAACATTAAACTAATTTACCTACTTTAATTGGTATACCTACAATGAATGATGATAGTAAAACCTATATTTGAATTTATTTGCTAATGATTATTAATACTTATTGATAATATCTTGCAGTAATCATGTGTCTTTCACCAATTTTTTTTTTTTAATAGGTACCTATCTAACGAGTTGTTTAATTTAATTATTTACATAATTTTAATAATAATATGTTTACATAAAGAACCCTTATGGCTTAGACGCATATCATAATGCTTAATTTGTATAAGCTATACAATTTATAGTGATTTGCACCTCACGGTCATGACGTGGATATTGCATATATTTTCCGGAAAAACTTAAATATTTTGTATTATATTTATAAGGCATTGCAACGAATGCGACAGCTGGAAAATTGGTTAACCTTATTCCCTTTGAAAAGTTTCAGAAAAGAGTAGGTACCTACGTTCGGAGTTTCAACAGTTAGTATATTTATTTTAGACTTCTTAGTAAGTTATTATGGACCTTTTGGATTACAAGCAACACATATACTGAATTTAATGTGGTTATACTACAATCAATAATACAATAAAATATATATTTCTAAAATATTCGTGACTCATATCTAGGCACAGTGGCTTGTACCATAAAAAAAATAGGTGTTGCTCAAATAATCTTAGGTGACCTACCCCTCATTACACTGCTGTTATATCGACCTATAAAATGTCCTATTTTTCTTCTATCAATACCCATCCATCCATATTTAAGGTGTTGCCTGAGCAACACTTGTACCCTAAGTTACACGCCACTGTCTAGGGACCAGGATATAATATGTAGAGGTAGACTACTCTAAAAATGGGTGTAAATACTGATACAAATTCAGTGTAGGTATAAATGTATATAAATATAAATACCTAATATTATATTTTTGTTTTAAATACTATGGGCAAACATTAATTTGGACCTAATATTAACAACTTAAATGTGTGTGCATTAACAAATACGAAAAGTGAAGTAGCAAATTAAAAAGCAATACTCTGGGCCTCCTGGACCCCTACCACAGTTACGACATTGCCGCTCAATAATTTTTTTAAGGGTCTGAAATAAAAATGTTGACAAAATTTGTAAAAATCAAGAAAATTTGAAAATTATTTTGAGTTAGAAATGCATAACTATTTTTCTTTATTTTTCAAAGATTTGGAAACTCAATATAGTAAATATAGTACCTACTATACACATACTAATATATAAGTACTTATCACTCATCAGCTAGTCTACCTTTATCAAAAATAAAATCTACCAGAAGTTCAAATTCTATTTTTAGATAGAAGTTCAAACTTTTACAACAGTGGATAGTCATTAGATTTCTCATGGAACGATTTTCTTATTGTGTTGTAATTTAAAAACGAACAGTTGTTAATACCTACTTGAAAGTTATGCTAAATGTTTATTTTATATGTTTGATAAAACTCAAAATATTTTGATTTGTTTTGAACTGTTTAGGGTCATTTTCAATTTATTAAGTTTTTTTTTTAATGTCAATACAATTTTATTCGTAGGGTCAAATAGCTAGAAAATTTAATACAAAGCTCCTCACACATTATTGTTACAATATCAGTTTAAAAATATAAAAATATTATAATATGTTTTCTTTTATATTATAATTTATAGATTATTTAATACTCAAGATTATTTTGAAATATAAGCATTTACACATTACAGTTCAAATTTTGACAACATTTATCAAATTAAAATGTATAAATTATTTTACAATTAAAATATATAATACGTTCAATTTGTATTGCAAAGTATTTAAATTTTAAATCAAGGTTCTACATAAGTTATTAATTCTGTAATCAAAAAATCTAAAACATCTAAATATATAATATTTATTTTAGATAAAGGTCACACGTGGGCACGCGCACATTGCCATAAAGCTATCAAGCTATACAAATTGAACATTTTATAAGCTTTTGGCTAAAAAAAGTTTTAAATTTCTCGCATCTACAAATAACTCAAGAGTCAAAATATTTTGGAAATATATGGGGAATTGTCATATTAACATTCAGTGATCATTTAAAGTATCTAAGGTTATAAGATTTTGAGTTACACCCATAATGCTAAAACGATCTAGTCAAAAACTGATATTTTGTAAAAATCGCTGGTTTTTCCGAAAATTTAAAAGAGTTCTGATTCAATTTTCTATCAGAAATTCAGAAACCATCCTAAAAGTTATAAATACTAAATAGCATGAAGTAGTAAAATCTATATACAAGGTTGAAGGTACAAATACAGAAGAAAATTAAAAATACATCATTGTAATAAATAGCATTCACTATCCCTTTCATCAGCTGGTTTTCAACTGTTCCACTGGATTTACCCCTCACATAGAGCAGAAGCAGAATGCCCATGCAAACAGCTTGAGGGATTGGCAATTTAAGTTTGTCCTTATCTCTCACGGATTTCCAGGAAAAAAACATAGTTGACATTTGACCTGTACAATAACTAGAATAATATTTGAATTTTAAAAAAACATAAATTTGGAAAAAAATGAAATGAAAAAATATGAAAGTGGTGTTTTATACTTCGTAGTTGGTTAACCTGCGTTTTCGTTTGGCCCGATTTCAGCGTTTATTCCATGAGATTAAATCTGGCTGTTATCTTGGGGGCCGAACTGGCGCCATTGATCGCCTGATGACCACCCGATACCATAGATATAATAGAATCTACTATGTCTATGCCGGATACTCCGTTTTTGGTGCGTTGTACAACCTGTTTTATGTATAATACTTTCCATGGGTTGGCAACGATAAAATTTTGCCGTAAGCATTGAATCGGCGAATTCTTGTTTGGTTCGAGTTGCGATACGTATACGCTTTTACCAAATTTCCTCCCATTTGTTATGTTTAATACTAAGGATTGGAGCAAAGGAACATTGGCTGAATTCACATCACGGTTCTTAATTCTCACATCGGTCGCGGTCTACATTATTCCCTTCTGACAAACGCATCACGTCCAAGGTTATTTGTGTAAAGTGGATAAAAGCTTAAGGGACACACGTGATCATGGAGTGGGGTGAGTGATGTTAATACAATTTACAATTTTAACTTAAAAAGGAAAATTGTGAAGTCAATTGAGAAAGGATTAAAGTTTAAAAAAAATTATTTTCATTGGTTTTTTTCCCCTTCTCAGATGCTGATAATTTTGAACCCGCTAAGCCTATCGTTCCCGTTGCTGACATTGTTGGCGGTGCTAAGCTCAACAAATGGGAAGGCGAAGATGAAGAAGAAAATATAAAGGTTAGACAATGATGTGTACATAATTAAACTAATTTATACCATTGTCACTACTGTTAGAAAAAACATAGTGCTTACAGAGCACTTGTATGTGGTGTACTTGTAGGGGGTAGCATATGAAAATTTAAGATTTAATGGATGCCTTTATCAAAGTCCAAATGTCCAATAATGAATTGACTACTATATTTCCAGATGTTGTTACGTGCACTACTGTATTTATAATTATACCCGTTCAGGAGGTAAATTTCAGTACATAATAACTTTCCTTTCTTTACAGATCTATACATATCTATTGCTCATTTGGCCTTGAATAATAACATAATTTTAAATCAATCTATACACATGATTGAGATAGATTTATTACCATTTTTTGGTTGTAAAGAATAGTGGTATATTTTAATTAAAAACTCGAAATCAATGGTGAAGTAAATTATGTTTGTAGTTCAGTAATCATTATGATTCACCCAATAACAAAGAAACAAAAGTATAACAATTGGAGAAAAAATCATGATTGTACCTTGAAAGATACTTGAATTTGGGTAGCCACCGCTTAGCGTTTTATAAACATTTACCCGTGAACAGCTTAAGGTCTTGGTGGTTCAAATTAAACCTATTATGTTATTTTTATTTACAAATAGAACATTTTTTGACTGTTAATGATTTAAGGTACTTAAGTTTTTGTTTAAGATAGTAACTATCGTCTTAACAGACTAGATGAATTCAGATAAATTTATCACTGGATTTATATTTAAATTTAAAATAAATTTATTTTTTGAAAATAAAGTGCATAAAAAATTGTACATTCCTTTCATAAATTTAAGATAATAATATTATATAACAGGTTGCAGTTTGACAATATCTATGTTGGTCCCTGAAGATTTTTGTTAAAAGGTGTAATGATTTTATTTATATACTCATTTTTTTATACAGTTCCTAATATCAAACACGGTTCTCATTATTTTTAAGTGCATATTCACCTAATATATGATCCCTATGCGCTAAATAGTTATTTGTAATTATTTTTAGGATAGCTGGGATGCAGAAGAAGAAGAAACAAAAAAAACTGAGACGAAAGTCCCCGAGAAAAAAACCAAATCAAAATTGGAACAAAAAATAGCAGAAAGAGAAGTACTTGGAATTATTATTTTTTACCTCAGTTATATCAGTAAATAACCAAATTTAGATGATATTTAGTTCAGAAATTATAACTATGAATTTAAATGTAAACTATTTTAAATTTATAGTCTAATATAATTAGGATATCAGTGAACAAGTTAATATTCTATAGATTGATGTTAGTTAGGTACCTCACCTATTTAATTCTTAGGTTTTATAAAATAAAATATAACTAGGGTTGACTATTATTATTTTGTAGTCAAATTCGAAATTTCTCCAAATGCTTAAAAGTTCCAAATTAAGTATTTGAAAATATCTAGGTGTATTGAAATGTTACTGTTTTAGGTTATTAAGTATTTACTAGACACTTATAAACAACTACTGCTTGGTCCTTTCCTCCGTTGTTTTAGTTAGTATCTATTGTTTTTCTTAACACTTCCAAAAACAAAAAATAGTATGTACTTTGTTGTCAGAAGTTTTTGACTCCCTCACCCTCGATTTTTATTTCTGTAGGTGCCCTCCATCTCGAACAGCTAAATTTTGTAGATACGTATTCATTTATGTATGTATACTAAATATTTTTTCCTATATAACTACTCTGTATTAGTATATTCAAATATATGATAAACTATGAAATTTGAATAGTATTTTATTTTTTTTGAGTACTCCCCTACCCTTAATGTAACTATTTGATTGATAAAATAACTTTCCTATTGTAAGGGGTTTTATGTTTGTCTACTGAAGTAGAGCATAGGCCCCTGATTGCAATTCTTACATTTTGATCGTTGGCGGGTTCAATTTTTTTAATTAAATTAGTTATACTTAACTGTTTTCTATGCGTAATATTATAAATGCTTTAGACTTCCTTTTTTTTTTTTGACAGACCATTTTAAATTGATACAATATTAATCATGAGTTAATAATTATGATATTTGTAGTTATTTAAGTATGTGAATAAACAGTTAAATAAAATAAATTCTAAATTTTAGGTATAAATATATCAACATTTATCATATTCCTTCTGCTGTCCAGAAACGAGCAACCTTCCCTGATCTTTGGTTAGCTTGTAACAGGTCCTTTTCCGTGCATGGGTTGGGATTCATTGGGCATGCTGATAGGTGTGCTATTGTCTGTTCAGGAGCGTTTAAATTCAGGAATACACCGCTCATGGTGCGCTTGCGCATTTGCTATCTTGCGCATAATGTAGATATTAAATAATATGTTGATTATCAGTTATCAGTAATTTAAGCGGCAAACTAAAATGTTTAATAAATAGTAAGCTATCTTTATGGTGCTATTTCATTTAAGGTCACTGGTAAAACACATTTTACCTGACACATTAACACACTTATGACATAGGAATTTAGAGTATTTAGACATCTTCTATTTCTAACATATTGATTGAAGCAAGATTATAAAAATGTAATAGGTGGGAATTTCTGAATATGATATACTAAAATCCGATCTATATTAGCTAGTGTAAAACTTTTTTGTACTTCACTATATATTATTTCTTTATACAAATGTAATTTGTTTGTGATATTTGTAATAAAACCTTTACAATGAAATACTCACTAGAAAGACGTAAAAAAAATGTCCACAAGGTAGAAAATATTATTTTTGAAAAATCATATTTTTGAAAAATCATATTTTTCAAAATGTAATAGTTGCAGTAATCTTAGTTTTAAAAAGAAAACTCTATTGATTGATCATTTAAATTTTGAGCATGGCATGTCAATCAATAAGGAAATTTTACAATTTAATAATATTACAGGTATTAATTTAAGTTTTTTCACTAAAATAATATTTGTTTAAGTCACACATTTATTCATATTTCGAAGTAATAATCATTTCAAATATTAAAAGTAACTAATGTATTCTAGATTCTGAGTTAAGCGATGAATGTATTGATTTTACAATGTTTTTTTTTTTTTAATACAATAAAAATGCTTTGATTTTCTTCATCATCTTTTCTGATAAGAAAGTGAATCAAGTTGGTACTTTTGGGTGGTCAAAAGCAAAACAATTTTAAGCAAAAACCTCTCCAATCAGAATCGTTTGTTGTATAGGTACAATGATATTATATCATTGAATTCAAATTTAGTTGACTTTGAATTATATTATATTAAAAATTATTATTTTTAGAATTTTATAACTGGAAAATTATGCATGAATTAGAAGAAAAATGTTGTACCTACCACTGACTAAATGTACCAAATTATATAACTCAGTTTAAATATACTAAATTCGCAAATTGCAATATTAAATATTAATAATTATTAATTAATGTTCAATAGGTATAATATCACTGAGACCCAATAAAATTATATATATTATTATTTATTGTTATTATAGTTAGCTCTTATCAGTTACTAACATCTGCGTTGTGCGGATGATACTGTATTGCGCATGCGCACCATGAGCGGTGTATTCCTGTATTTAAACGCTCCTGTCTGTTCTTGGTGGCATTGGCATTTTGTATCAGAATAGTTCATGTAACCTCATTTAGACATGTTATCTCTTGATCTTCCTATGCCTATTCTCATTCTGTTGAGAGTTCTCCGGGTTTGCCATTCTAATTGATGATCTAGAAATCACTGTAGTAGACTATGAGCCCTATGTAGTGTAAGAAAGAGATTGTAGAATGTTCCGTTACATGTGTTTGGGCTAATTGAATACCACAGTTGTTTTCAAATTTGAACTTCAAATATTAATTAAAAGAATCTTTCTGGTGTGGTTTTGATATTTGCAAATCACTAGAACAATAATAATACATTTTTATAGCCATAAAAAAATGTTTAAATCATGTTGTCATTAAACCAATATATTCCTTCCTCTGATAATCTAAAATATTTATTTTTAGCGAAAACAAAAAATAGAAAATGAAAAAATGAGGCGTAAATTTTTGGAGGCAGAAGAAAATTCAAACATGACACCAGAAGAAAAAAAGTTATTACAACAGAAACTACAAGAAGAAGCTGATTTGGAAGTAGCCAAAGAAATGTTAGGTGTGGATGAAAGTGATGAAGATTCAATAGACCGCATGAATCCAAAATCAAAAGAAGATTTCATTGTTTTTGAACAAGCGCTTCAGAAAAAAATACAAAGTTTTTCTAAATCTGATCATTATTCTGATTTTATTGAAGAACTTATTAGGAATTTATCTGTTACTTGTAAGTGTATTATAAATTGTGTATATATAATAAAATGTAGGTATACACATGAAAATAAATAAATACAAATTGTATTGTTTCAGTATCAATGAATGATTTAAGGAAGTTAAAAGCAAGTGTAGATAATATGAGTACAGAAAAAATGAAGGCAGAAAAGGGTGATAAGAATAAAAAAAATAAAGGCAAAGGAAAAGCTAAACTGCGCCTTGACAACAGTACTGTAAGTTTATTTTTTTTTCATTATACATTTTATATTTAAAAATAATTATTCTTTGATTGAGTACATATTTAATTTAAAAAAAAAAATAAGCATAAATTATTGAAGTCTCATTCTGGGACAGTTGGCCATCTAGAAATTATTGGGACTATGGCAACCATATACTGAAATTAGCAAGTTGAAGTGGTGTATTCAAGTACATGTGTAACTATTAACCTGTTAATTCACTGACAATTTCGGTTTTTCCCAATCTGGTATTTTTAATTTATAAAACAAACATGTAGAATACATTCCTGAACCCTTTGTACTTTTGGATTCCTATCACATTAGACTATTTCATACCTTAACTCTATACCATTTCCTCCATTTGATAGCCCTCACTACCTTTGTAATGATCAATATAGAAGTATTGATAATTATCCATTATATTTCAATTGGACGCTATCTTTCTCTCAATCAGACTTCAAACATTACATTTATATCTTTGACTCAATCTTAAACTTATTCATGGGTTGCATTATTAATGTTCAAAATCAAATTTCCCAGGCTTTTAGAAAATTGAAAGACATTGGTGTTTATTAAAAAAAAGCATTAATTTACGTTTTTAACACATACTTAAACTAGAATAAGGAAAACCTACATTTTTCTATTTTTTGGTAAATACATAAAATAAAAAATAGAGATGTGCAATGACAAATAAATATTTTTTATATTTTTAAATTATGCAATAAATAGAACATTTTTTGTACATATTTAAACAATTATTACAAATGGTCAATAAACATTTGATATTTAAATCATGTGACTATTTAATTGAAATAATTGATTTTGTATCTAAATAATATTTTAGAGCTTTAAGATTTTACTGACACAACTATGTTATTTTACCGTGTTCCAGATTCCTGACTACAATGAGTTTTCAGCCTATACTGTGGATGATTATGAAGAGTTCATGTGAGGAAAACGGTTGAGCTAAAGAGAACCATGCTAATGAAAAAATAAGCCGTGTATATTATTAAAATATAAATATATCTATTATGTCTATTACTTATATAATTATAGTGTGGATATAGCTGAATTATGAATATTTTTTTGATAGTTTGTGTTTATCTTTATTTATCACATTAAAATATACAATCCCATGTTAAAAAAGAATATATTCTTCTTTATTTATTAATTAAAAAAAAAAAAAATGCTATACCTAATTATATTCCAACATTATCTCCATCTGTTTAGTCTTAGATAACTATAGTATTGCACAATAATGACAACCACTTATAGATACCACTTTTTATACACATATGCTTTTTGTGTGCATAATCAATATTATGGTAAGCTTCTCTCACTGTATGTTCATTTAATACCTTCCTTAAGACCTAGCAGTTCACACCTTCGGCAATTATATTTATTATTAGTTTATAAAAGTATACATAAAATATTATAGGTATGGATATGTACGAAGTGTATGTAAAAGCAGTGTCGTTTTCTGCAGGTTGTGCATCCACTGCAATGATGTTAACGCCTTTGTAAGTACTACCTAATATTGATAACACAATATTAGGTAATAGTCAGCTCCATTTATCATAATTCATAAATCACTATATTTTAACTGACATATCATAATAACTAATGTAGTATGTAGTATGTACTGAGGAAGTTATACTCCCTAGTGTAAAATTAGTAAAATTATTTTATATTTTACCTTACCTCGATATTTTTTTCCAAAGTACCTAATATAAAGTTAACTTACATCATGTAAACACAAATAAAAAATCTACAGATGCAAACACTACTTCCAATACAAACTCTTCGCCCAAGAGGAGAAATTATGCTCATGTAACAACTAACAATTCCATACGAAGCTTCTAAGCTCTCTCTTAACAATTTCCAAGCAACTAGTAATTTTGACATCCCTTCTGAATAGGTACTCTCATAGGAAAACTTATGCTCTACAACACTGGCAAATATAACAATTTTATGCTCCTACGAAATTTAAAATTTAATGAAATTGAAAAAAATAATAATATCTGACCTTATTACAAGTTCATAATTGGAAATACGAAACATAAAAAAATGTGAATGGATGTCCTTCACTCGCATTACCTCATATTCTATAATAGCCATGATAATAGCGACTGGTTAAAATGTTTATCATATTTTTTTATCATAAGTATCAGCAAATATCAATTAGCATAAAACAATATTTAAAAGTATTTAAAATTTCTTTGATAAAAAATAAAATAATAACTATTAACTATGGTCATAAATGTATCTTAAATTATAATACATTAATTAACTCAATAAGTATCCAATGAGTGATGATGACTGTCTAGGTTTCAGTACTTCTTGCATTTGGATGTTTTTTTCGGGTGGTTGTAGAATATTCTAGGCGACATTTATATGTAAATGTATGTTTGGCTTATTTTGTTGCATTTTACCAAAACAAAATATTCAACAAATGAACTACAGCAAATATAACCTATTAACATTATATTACCTATTTGTGCGTATTTTCATATATTTTACGTACCTTCTTATTTTCCCTAGTTCTTAGGTAGACTTTTTCTGTTTAATTTAAAATATATTATTTCAAGCATTATTGATGCACTCTCGAGCCTTAACAAGAGTTAAAAATATTCTAGTCTTCATGATAGTTTATGATTATTATGGTTGTCATGATTCACTCATAATTAAACACATTTTTTTTTATAGGCTCTTGTAAAGTTTTAAATATCTACGTGGGTACCATTGAGTACAAGTTTGAAGCATGTTTACCTACCGTGTACTCACAACTGTACAAAAAAATAGATTAAATTTAAGTGAACGTGAACCGTCTACCTACGGGCTACGGCTATTATTTAAACACGATAAAAATAAATATAACTTGAATCCCATAGACATATTATAAACTAGGTATACAAATCTTTATGTCCATGCTTGCACGACATTAAACAATAATTCCAAACGATTTTTGATCGGAAATCATTTGAAAGAAAAGTAAATTGTAATTTGTCATGGATCAACACTGCACCGTAGTCTGTAACCTGTTGATAAAATTAAAATTAACTCAATAATTTATATCGGATACGCCGCGCTAGTGCTCTACTTACAACTGACAGAGGTTTCAGTCGATTTATATTTTATTGCTCTGCGACACATAAATTAGCCTTTTACGTGGGACATCGCTGGTCGCTGGATGTGAGGGGCCGAGGGGGACTACTTTCACAGACTACAGAGGGGCTTTTGATATCGAAAACTGACAAAAGATACAATTATCGAATTCTGCTTTATTATTATACCTAAATGATCAGAAGAGATAGGTTAGGTATTTAAAACATTTTTCGAACTCGAGGTGCCTAAATTCAGCAATCGAAACTTATGTGTCGTGAACCAGTGAAATTCCGTGATTGAACACTCTTAAGTCACTTAAAAATGTACCTACAAAGTACGTAAATTGTGTCTCAGTATGACAATTGGTACCTAAAGAATAAAAAAATTCTAATTAACTCAATATAAAATACATTTTTCTTGCAAGACATCCGTTTGTACCATATTCTTCCGAGTTCTTCTAAGGAAACTTCATATTATAAATTTGTTTTGTATATAAATAAAACTCAAATCTAAAAATGTAGGTTGCATATTATGCAATGGTGTACTAAGGGGGAAATATAACAATCCCCGAAATTGTTTAACTTAAAAGTTTAAGTCACATCTCAATTGCCAGTCACTCTTTATATTCATCTTCTTAAAGATTTTAAGACCATCCGGTCACACATCCAATTTTTCAGCCTTCCCTATCTAGCACTCGTACTTTCCAATCCGGTCCTCTATTCAGTGCATCCACGTCTTTTTTCATATCTTCCCGCCTCAACCGAGGTCTACCCGTTGGTCTTCTACCAACTGGGTTCTCGTCTATGGTCATCCTTACTACCTATATTGTTCTGGCTTCACATAGTGTGTCCAGCCCACTGAAGTTTTCGGTTTCTAATTACGTTGACTATGTTATATTTTATGAATGGACTCTCCAGTTCTTTGTTTTTCTGATTCTCCACTCTCCCGTTTCACTGGTACAAAAATTTTCCTTTCAAACACCGACAGTTTTCTTTCTACATTCTTTCTCAATGTCCAAGTCGCTCTCGCTCGTTAAATTAGAATTTATTATTTATCTACAACTCATGCGAGTTATGAGCAACTGCTCAACATTGAATTCACATTAGGTACTAAAATCAAAACTCATTAGCTTTGGAGTTTGGATACTTATGCTCTGAATTGATTGCTTTTAATATAGGTTGGTATGCAAGGATATTGTGAAGAAAAAAACGTCCGACCATGTCAATTTATCTACATTTGTTGGTGCACTTTTTAGGTAAGTCTAACTTAGTTCAAGTTGTGGTAATCATTAAAACTATTTTTACATTTTCAGAAGTTCACTATTTTGTCGCCAGGGTTACATTTTAAATTTACAAACAATGATGCTTGTTCATGGAATGGGGCTATTAATCAATACATTTTACTTAGCGCTTTATTGGTATTACTCAAATAAAAAAGTAACTATTCCAATTTTAGTTAATTTTTCTAGGATAACTTTAAAAAACATTTTAAATCCTTGCAGACAAATGTAATAACGACAGTCTTTAAGACTGCATTATTGAGCTCAGTTTTCCAGACATATTCATTTATAGAATCACCAGATTTAGTTGTGACACGATTCCCAATTATGGTATCAATCATACACTTGTCACTAATTGGTTGGCCATTACTATCCATTGTAAGTAAAAAATATTAAAAACAAAAATGATAAATGTATTATTGAATAGTAAATAATAATACAAAAAGATTTATTAAAAATTGTTTCCTTACAATGTTTTTGCTTTTTTAGAGGGATACCATGAGAACAAAAAAATGGTCAGGACATCCAAAGCCAATTTTGATAAATTCTATTGTTCTTTGTATTTTATGGCTTCTATATAGTATCAACATAGGAAACACAATCATTTTTGTAAGTAAAAATATTTAATAATATTTTTTATTTAAGTTTTAATAGTATTGACTGCATGGTTACTTTTTATTATTATTTCAGACTCAATGTTCAGTAGCATTAATACTAAGCTCAACACAACTGGGACTATGGACAATATACCCAGCAGAAAAAATTCAACGCAATAAAATGGATAAACATGAATGATTACTGTTGTTATAGTTTTACAATTTCTTGTTATAATTTTGATAAATATTTGATTTCATAAAATAAAAAAAAATATCATTTTAACAATGTTCACTATAAATCGACTCCTTAATTTTGTCCAACACATTACAAATAAAACAATGAAAGGTAGACAAAAAAAATAATTTATTACTAATTATAATTATTGTGGAAATCCAGTTCTTTGAATGTAGTTCACAATTTATATAAAAGGGTAAAGTAAATACAAATTTAATAGCTATGGTACTATGAACAACAGTAGGCTTAACGATGAGAACCCTTTTATAAAAAGAGCTGGAAACATTCTGAGAACTAACTTGTTTTGTTATCAATCATATAAAAATACTTAAGCGTTGAATGAAGCTAAGAAATTAGTTACGACAGATTTCAATTTTGCATCAGTATCATCTGTGATTTTTCCTTCTTTTGCAATGCTTTCCAATAATGATTTTTCGGAGGTTCTAAAAAAAAAATAAAGTTATATAACCCGTTGTCAATAGTATAAATTATAGGTATAAAAAACAGTACTTAATGTGCTGTAAGAATTCTTTTTCAAAAGTAGTGATTTTGGATGGTTCCATTTTATCAAGGAATCCTCGTACACCACAGTAGACAACGGCGACTTGTTCTTCGATGGCCATTGGTACTAAAATACAAATTTAAATATTTCATAATATAAGGTACAAAAAAAAGTATTGAAATACATATAATTTATAATTTGATACCAAGGTTTAACCATATAACAAAAACAAATAGGGATACAAAGTAATATATCCTAATTATGGATAACACATAGATTTTATTTCCTTACCATACTGTCCTTGTTTCAACAATTCAGTCAGACGAACACCACGGTTCAAAAGTTGTTGAGTAGCTGCATCTAAATCAGAACCGAATTGAGCAAAAGCTGCTACTTCACGGTACTGAGCTAATTCCAGTTTCATGGATCCAGCCACCTACAATTACAATCATAGATTAATTATGAATTAATTTTTTTTTAGAAAAAAGGAATTAAAATAATATCTATTGCTTACTTGTTTCATGGCTTTAGTTTGGGCAGCAGAACCGACACGAGATACAGATAAACCTACGTTAATAGCTGGACGGACACCTTTGTAAAACAATTCAGTTTCCAAGAAAATCTGTCCATCAGTGATGGAAATGACGTTAGTGGGAATGTATGCAGACACATCACCAGCTTGGGTTTCAATTACGGGCAATGCAGTCAAAGATCCACCACCTAAAGTTTCGCTCATCTTAGCTGCTCGTTCCAAAAGACGAGAGTGAAGGTAGAACACATCACCAGGGTAGGCCTCACGACCAGGTGGACGCCTCAACAACAGGGACATCTAATAAGAGATTAATACAGTTTATATAAAAATTGAATAAGTTATTTAAAAATTCCTATTTACTTGACGGTAAGCAACAGCTTGTTTAGATAAATCATCATAGATGATAAGAGCGTGTTTGCCATTATCTCTGAAAAATTCACCCATGGCACATCCAGAGTATGGGGCCAGATATTGCAGGGGGGCAGCATCAGAAGCTGTAGCTGATACAATGATAGTATATTTGATTGCACCTACAAAGTAATAATTTTAACAAATGAGCTTTTGGTTAATAACCTTAGTTAAAATAATAACACTATTCCGTGTAAACATTTATACTAACCAGTGTCTGTCAATCTTTTTACAATTTGGGCAACAGTTGATCTTTTTTGTCCAATAGCAACATAAATACAGTACAGTTTCTTCTTTTCATCTTGGGCGTCATTAAATCTCTTTTGGTTGATAATAGTATCAATAGCCAGAGCAGTTTTACTAAATAATGCGAGTTATAATTTAAAATAAATAATAGAACTTTAAAATTAATGAAGTTACTACTACTGACCCAGTTTGCCTGTCTCCAATGATCAATTCTCTCTGACCACGACCAATGGGTACAAGTGAGTCGACAGCCTTAATACCAGTCTGCATAGGTTCTCGTACAGACACACGAGGAATGATACCAGGGGCCTTGATACCCACACGGTACCTAAGCTTAGATGTCAATGGTCCCTTACCATCAATAGTATTACCTAAGGCATCAACCACACGTCCAAGAAGGTCTTCACCAACTGGTACATCCACAATGGCACCAGTACGTTTTACGACATCACCTTCTTTGATTAGCTTATCATTACCGAATACTACAACTCCTACATTGTCAGGTTCCAAGTTGAGAGCCATACCCTAATGAAAGAAGTTCTATTAACATAAATAAATACTAACAAAATGTAAGGCTAAAACATATGAACATCTTAAAATCGTTTTATTTTTCATAAAACTACTGTCATTTAAAAAAATCATATACTGAATAAGATGTAACTTGAAACTTAAATAATTACATGTATTTTAGAATTTATAATAAAAATTATTTTAAATATTTTAACTTTAAATAAAATCAAATCAAACCTTCAATCCAGAGGAAAATTCTACCATCTCTTCTGCTTGTACATTTTTTAATCCATAAACTCGAGCAATACCATCACCAATACTTAAAACGCGACCAGTTTCTTCTAAATCAGCCTAGATTAAAAATATTATTATATGATAAATATATTTCAATTTCTAGACTTTAATACAACTACTACATACTTTTGGTGGAGCTCCCAAAATTCTTTCTTCCAAAATGGAAGAAATTTCTGCAGCTCGTGCACTGCATGTTATATGTAATGATCGACTGATGAGTTTTGATGTGGTCCATGAAGCCTTGCTTATCTGAATACATGCATAACAATTAAAATCCAATTAATTCATAATTAAATAACAACTAAGACTAAAAGTTATTGAAATCAGTTTAAAATATAAATTTTCAAGTAGGATAAGTACCTAAAAGATAAAGTTTGAATTTACTATCAATAATATAATATTATGTTTTACAATAACGAAATCTAGCACATAAGTCTACAACAGTTAACGCGTGTACCAAGACTTTACTTCAAAATATTTAGGAACAATGTGCAATTACACCTATTTTATGTGAGAGTAAACTTTTAAATATAAAAAAAAAAAATTATATACTTAAATTATCATCAAAGGTCATAAGAAGGTTATATACATAAGTGTGTATTATTTTTAAGTGCAAAAAATGGCAATTAATAATAAAATAATATAAGTAACAAAGATCAATAAATACACATTATTAATTTATTAATATCATGAAGTACAGTTAAATTAAGAAAATATGTATGACGAAAATAAGGATCGCCCCTACTAGCCGACCGGCATCGTAGATTACGTTTAAGACGAATCCGTAAAGCAGAATTGATATAAATTACAAATTAATATACTTTACCTGGGGTAATGTGTTGTTTAATTGTTTTCCGATTTTTGTGGCCAAACGGAGCGATAGGTTAGCCATGTTGATGATTTTTAAACGTGAACGTGTGTAACTAACTGGGTGTAAATTCTAGCACAAACGGGATGGTGATGAGAAAAGAAAATGGATGGTCGAAAATCGTTTGACCCCCCTATTCCTCGGACGGCCAATCTATGTGAAACGCAATCTATGAAACATGTGTTTTTGTAGTGTGACCAACATAGTTGAACGAAAATCTGTTCAAAGTAATTTTAGTAGAGCGCCAAACCAATCACAACCAAGTCAAAGTTGTCGATCAAAAATTCTGCCATTAATAATAAATAATAAAATCTAAAACTTAAGAGTCATGAACAATTTAAATATTTAAATCTCCTCTAAATTAGAAGTTAATGAATCCAATGATACAGAAACCTCACGTTCCATAAATCTGTTTTTCTATAATGAGTTGGATGTTGGATATTTGGATTTGGTCATTAGCATATCCCTATCAACAAAAAAAGTTAATACTAAACATTACCTACTAAATTTAATATAAATTATTATTGGAAATCAATTTGAAAAGACATTGCCTATACAATTTTCCTAAGATATCTCGAGGATATAGAATAATATATAATATTTTATATTCTGTTAGTTTAATAGTATCCATATTATATTCGATTTACTAGTATAGTTGTATGAAAAATACAATAATATATATTTTTTTTTTTTTTGAAAAAATATTGATTTATCAAAATGAAATATTATTTTTTAATTATAATTATAAAATATAAATAGAAAATGGAAATAATACTGATGAAATCCTGAAAAAATATTTATTATTTTAATAGTTTAAAAATAAAGAATTTGTGTTGGTTACTGTATAAGGTATTTAGGTATATGCAGATATAATTAGGTATCTACCATCATGTGAGTGTTTACTACTTTATTGTAGTTGAGCTAGCATGTACTACGAAACTACAATATATTTAAAATATTTGAAGTAATACATTACAGATTCTGGGGGCATTAATTTCACAATGATGTGTGTTATTTCTCTTTTTCGTCACTTTGGGTTACTTAGTAAAAATGCTTTAATTTTCTGGTTGGAAAGGATATTAAGTTATTTGGGAAGTGGGAGGCGTCCAAAAGTAGTTTTCAGCAGTATCGATGAGTGCAATAAAAAAATTAAGGAAAAACGGAGATTTTTAAACAAAACCAGTTTTTGACAACATTTTGATTTTTGGTGTATTTGATATTTACCAGTTAATAATCGATTTTTCATCGAAAGATTTTGTTATTTAATTGTAGGTACCCATAGACTTATAAAGATTTATGTAGGTACCTAATGAATCAAAAATAAGGGGTAGCTATGCTATTAATGAAACTTTACATTATAATAATATGTATGTTAGCTTAGATGTTATAATCAGCACTTTTTAATAAGTTATAATTAACAGGTCTAGAAACGTGCATTTACTTTGCCTTATTTTATTATTTATTGAAACCAATATATATTATTATTAATTATTATAGTTACGTATCTATGGCTAGTGAGTACAGACTTATATAAACATGTTCTTTTAAGTTACCTAGGCTTGTATGCCTTTTTCATTAGATGAATTAATTAATTAATATTATATACTTTAGATAAATATATTAATACCTGGGCCATCACTGATCTGGAAAAAGCAAATATATTCTCCCGCCACCTCGCCACTACCTTTCAACCACACAACAATTTATGCCCAATTCAAATCGAAACAGTAAACCGCTCCCTACTCTGCGCTCTACCTATGACCCTTCCACCTAAACATATTCGCCCGAGCGAAGTTGAACATGCAATACAGCAATCTCCTCGTCGTAAAACCCCAGGTTATGACCTAATTACATCTGAAGTAGCAATGAAGTTACCCAAAAAAGCTTTACTAATGCTCACGCACATATATAATTCTATGCTGAGGCTCTCATATTTTCCAGTCTTATGGAAGTTCTCTGTAATTATCATGATTCTCAAGCCAGGAAAACCACCAGAATCTCCTAAATCTTACAGGCCAATCAGCCTTCTTCCATTATTTTCAAAAATCTTTGAAAAAATTATCCTAAAGCGCATCCTACCCGTCATTGAATCCAACCTGCCTAACAACCAATTTGGTTTTCGTCATAATCACTCAACCATTCACCAGATCCATCGCCTAGTTGATAACATTTCCTACGCTCTGGAAAAAAAGCTAATATGCACAGGTGTATTCCTCGACGTGGCGCAAGCTTTTGACACCGTCTGGCATGAGGGACTCCTCCTTAAGCTTAAAACTTTTCTCCCCCCCTACTACTATTTGCTGTTTAAATCCTACCTTAAAGACAGACACTTCTCTGTCCGTTCAGGATCTGCTATATCCGAAATATTCCCGATCTGTGCTGGTGTTCCCCAAGGAGCAGTTGCAGCTCCATTACTATTCAATCTATTCACATCTGATCAACCTACTACTGACTATACCATAACTGGGGACTTTGCCGACGATAAGGCACTCTTGGATCTCCACACAAAACCTAAAACTGCCTCAAACTACATCCAAAACCACCTAAATCTCTTATCAATATGGTATAAAGATTGGGGGATAAAAGTCAATGAAACCAAATCCGTCCACTGTACGTTCACGCTTCGGCAAGCTGTTTGCCCTCCTGTGTACCTTAATCACCTTCCACTTCCATCTGCCCAAAACGTTCGCTACCTAGGTCTTCATCTAGACCGCCGGCTAACCTGGGCAACGCATATCCACACAAAACGGCTTGCTCTAAATAATCGGACTCGTCAATTACGCTTTCTATTAACTTCAAAACATCTAAACCTTAAAAATAAACTTCTCTTATACAAATTACTTCTCAAACCAATATGGACATATGGCATCCAACTATGGGGTGCTGCCAAACCCTCCAATATTAATAAAATTCAAACTTTTCAATCAAAATGTCTTCGAAAAATAACTAATGCCCCATTTTATGTCTCTAATGATACTCTCCATAAAGATCTTTCCATCCAAACTGTCAAAAACGTTGCCAAGTCCTTCTACAAACGCATGCACACCAATCTTCGCAATCACCGCAATCCCTTGATTTCAGAACTATCTATCCCCACTATTCCTGGTGACCCCAGAAGGCGACTAAAACGAACGTGGTGTCGTGATTTACTTTCAGACTAACCTCCACCAACACATGTCATGAAGTCCCATCAATGGATGGTCTCTTCTCTCACGCCCCCTGTCTGAATTTTTGTAAATAATTGTAATTATCAACCCGTTGTTTATTACCTTATTTTCATCTTTTCTATATTATTCTATTNTTTAAAAAAAAAAAAAAAAAAAAAAATATTAATACCTATAGTTAGTGCTCAGTTGGCATGAAAGAGTAATTTTTCTTGAGGTGAGGTAAGGACAGTTTTAAGTAGTTTTCAGAATTCTTTTAAAATACTTATCCAAAAAGTATTCTGAATAACTATTTATGATAAGGATTTTATTCCTATATCCTAAGAAAAAATACTTTTTATTTAATAATAATAATTGTTTTCTTTGTTTCCTGGAAATAATGTTTACCTACATTATTATACACACTTTAAAATTTTAAATTAAGTATCAACAACTTAAATTATATTTATAGAATTATTAATAATGTATGTTGGCGCCGATAACAAATTTTCTCAAAGAAACCTATTATTGCAGGTTTAATATTTAAATTTTAAAACAAAAACTAAAAAGAGAGTAAGTGGGCAACACTCTACTGTACAAAAGTTGTCTAAAGAGTCACTGCATAATTGAATTTAATCATATAAAATCATTGTAAACGAAAAACGATTCTGAGTGGATGGTCTGTCAGTCTATAATATTACTAAGTAAGTATACTTATTACTTAATGATATGATTGTGATTAAAGTAATTTATTTTATTCTTAGCCTAAGTAGGTTAAATTCATTTTAGCCAAAAAAATTACATTTGAAGTCATTGTGTGTTTAGAATATAATAATATACTCTAAAAGTTTTAAGTAGCTACCTACAATAATATTATTATTAAATGTCAACAAAGTAATAACCTAGAATTGTAATTTTTGGTTTTAATATGTGGTCGCGTCAAAATTTTAACTTAAAATAACTATAAGAAAGAACTCTGGTTAAATATTATTTAGATTTTTTGCATCATTTTTTTTTTTGTTTATCCTCGTCGTTTTTGAAAATTACTGGAAATTTTAAACTTTGACCTCCCTTATGCACCAACTAGATTCACTTTCCCAAAGAACAAAATTTGAGACTGAAAAGTTGAAAATCGAAGCATTATTTGGACTACTTTTCGTTTTATAGACACAAATAAAAAAAATAAAAATACACATCACTGTAAAATTAATTAATTCATGGTTCCTCTTAAAATCTTAAGCTATTTAAGTGGAAGCTACACCTACATGTGTTGTCTCCGGCTTACAAACGTACAACATACCAAAAACTGTTTTGCACGAAATAGAACCACTCAAGCTGTAGTCCAAACTAAGCAACCAAATTTTCACATTATAAACCAGAGAACATATACTGTGCAACGTCATTTTCATTTTTTCAGTATCATAAATACTAGAAAAAGTTCTAATTACTCATAAATTAATTATTTTAAACTTGAATAACTTTTCTTGTATTTGTGATATCGAAAAAATTTAAACGATGGTGCACAGTAAATGTTCTCTTATTTACAGTGTGAAAATGTGGTTGCTTAGCTAAGACTACAGCTTGAGTGGTTCTATTTCGAGCGAAACATAGTCCATAACTTATACAAAAATGGCTAAGTACTCTTTTGATTTGTCCATATTTTTTAAAGAATTAAATAGTAATGCTCGCTTTCTTAAAATCATTGGTTTGCGTTATAATTATTTTTATACATAATAATAAATTAAGTGTTAACTAATAAAATAAGATTGTAAATGTACTGTAAAAATAAAAAAATAAAATAAAGAAATAATTGTGTATTTGTGTTATATTAAATTACACATTATATTACAGGCCATAACCCAAAAAAATCTGCCTCATTAATTTTATTAAATATTACACTTAATTGCAAACATTTTTTTTTAGTTTTAAGTTGATGATGACTGATCTTTTTCTTTTGCATCTTTTTCCTTCTTCTCTTTTG